TCCTATAGCAACTAAGGAGGGTAACTTCAGATCTTTTCTGGTTTGACAATGATACCAAAGGTGCATCTCTGGCCAATTCTGGACACACCCAGGGACAGCTTTTATTCTGAACAGACCCATACCAGAAACGGTTTCTGTTCTGGACACACCCCCCCAGGGAAGGCTTTTATCCTGAACACACCCACCACGGTATGGTTTCTGTTTTTGACACCTACCCAGGGATGGCTTCCATCCTAGACACACCCACCCAGGGACGGTTTCTGTGCTGGAAAAACGAAAGTTAGGACTGTAACTACGGTTCTATAAATCCCGAATGACGGCCAGAGGCGGTGCTTAAAGCACGAATGATCATGCTTGTGCATGCACAGGTCGAGCATCTTATACTAACATAGTCACGTGTTGTGACAACGACAGCTCAGTCCCTTAATCTTCTGGCGAAAACATGATGATTCCGAGGGACCGTGCGCTCTGGCGGTCTTCCGGGATTCATAGAACCATAGTTACAGTCGTACCTTTCATTCTATTTCATCCCTACTGACCGCCAGAGGCGGTGCCTAAAGCACTGATGACGATTACAAACAGAGTCCTGAGGAATCACATACAGAAACAAACAACCCGAAACATGCCCAGCTTACTGGGAAGATGGTGCACACCGGGACAGGATCCCCTGCAGTGGGTGAAATGCCGCCAAGTAACCTGTAAAACTTAGCAAAGGTATTAGGGGATTAACAAGAGGCTGCTGAACAAATAGTCTCCAGAGTGACACCAGCCATAGCAGGCCATGACACACTAATGCCCCTGTTGGAATGGCAACGAACACCAGCGGGGGGTTGACGGCCCTGCCGAATGTAGGCTTGTTCCACTACATCCACGATCCAACGCGCAAGGCGGTGTTTAGAAAGGGCCTTCCCCTTGCAGGGCCCCACGTAGCAAACAAACAGACTACCCGACTGCCCGAAGAGAGAAGCTGTGAGACTGACGCATGCCTTCAGTGCCCGAACAGGGCAGAGAAGCTCATCAGGCCCATCTGCATCAAGGCGGGCAAGCTGGAGGGGCACAGTGTGGCTCGCGGATAAAGCCGCCTTAGAAAGAAATGCGCATCAGGCCAAAGAGTAACACCCGAACCAGCCGGGTTCCAACGGCAGCAGGACTTGTGAACAGACAAGGCATGTAGTTCACCAACCCATTTCGCCGAGGCCATGTGCGAGGAGAAAAGCTGTCTTCTTTGACACACACTCAAGGCTCGCCTCCGTCAATGGTGCAAAAAGAGGAGAGTGCTGGGCAGCGAGGACAAGAGAGGTCCCACACAGGCACAACACGGCATGTGGGAGGGTGCAAAAGTCGGGCACCTCTCAAAAACAAGGAAACGTCCTTGTTACGACCCACCGTCTACCCACCCAATGCCAGCAAGAGATGGCAGCAACATAAACTTTCAGAGTGGATGGAGAGCGACCTTGAGAAAGCAGTGCTTGAAGGAAGGTTAAAATAACAGAATTAGGACAGTGTACAGGGTACTCATTTCTTTCCCGACACCAGGGGCTAAAAGCCTTCAACTTATGGGCGTACACCAGTCGCGTGGACGGGGCCTTGGCATTAGTCACCGTGTGTCTGATGTCCCCTCCATATTCCGAGAAGGAAACGCCTGGCCCTGTAGTGGCCACACCAAAAGTTGGAGGTGACTGGGATTGGGATGCAGGATGTGACCGCCCAGCTGTGAGAGAAGGTCCTTCCTGCGGGGAAGAGGCATTGGAGAGCTGCAACAGAGCCTGTGCAGCAGTGGAAACCAAGTCCTCCCTGGCCACCGGGGGGGCACCAGAAGGAGCTGATGCCCCTCCTGAAGNAGCCTGTGCAGCAGTGGAAACCAAGTCCTCCCTGGCCACCGGGGGGGCACCAGAAGGAGCTGATGCCCCTCCTGAAGGACCCTTACGAGTGTTGGGCCTATCAGGGGAAGCGGCGGAAATGCATAGAGCAGTGCCCTCGGTCAGTCGTGCAACAGCGCATCCTGACCTAGGGGACTGGCACTGTCTACCAGGGACAGTGTTGTGGGGAATGTGATGTTTCTTGGGAAGCGATTAAATCTATGGCTGCCCTTCCTAACCTCTCCCAAATAGTCCCCACAACATCTGGGTGGAGCCTCTGAGATAGGATCTCAGAGGGAACATTCTGCACCCCTTGGTCAGGGTCTCCAGTCACGTTAGCGCCACGCTTACCCCTAAGGGACTGGAGCAGTGCTTTCATCCCCTCCAGAAAGAGTTTGCGCAGCCTCTGGAGGGCAAGATGATCTTCGCAGCTCCGACCTAAGTCTCGAGGCTACCAGCAACAACTGTGTCTTGCCACCTGTTCAACCTGAATGCGAGAAGATGAAAAGGGACTGAGCTGTCGTTGTCACGTGATTATATAGGCTCACCGGTGTCACCGGGGTTCACACGTGACTATGTTGGTATAAGATTCTTGACCTTTGCATGTGCAAGAGTGATCATTCGTGCTTTAAGCACCGCCTCTGGCGGTCAGTAGGGATAAAATAGTAGGGATAAAATAGAAACAACCAGGTTCTATCCAGGTATGGCTTTTATCATGGACACACCCATCCAGGGAAGGTTTCTTTTCTCGACACACCCACCAGGGAAGACTTTCATTGCTGGACACACCCACCCAGGTAAGGTTTCTATTCTGGACACACCAACCCAGGGAAGACTTTCATTGCTGGACACACCCACCCAGGGAAGGTTTCTTTTCTCGACACACCCACCCTGGGAAGGTTTCTATTCTGGACACACCCACCCAGGGATGGCTTTTATCCCGCACATGCCCACCCAGAAATGGTTCCTTGAGGAGATCTAAAGGATGGGGTGGTGTTCATGTGTACAAGAACCTGGACTCCTATGGATCCTTCTAATAACAAATCTGAATATACCAAAGAGTGATGGTCCCTCACGTGTTAGACTGAACCCATTTCATCCTGGACAGCAGCCATTTATCAGAGGCAGAGAGGCTCCTGAGGACCAGGACTGGAAGCACTGCTAAACAGACAGTCATGTAGCACAATGAATGGATAAAGCCAACTCACCACTGGCATGAATTTGATGAAGCTGAACAAGAAGATCTTGAAATCTTTAGTGGAGCGGCCGATGATGGCGCTGGGAATGAGAGGATGAGACGGGCCGACGTTAGCCGCAAGAAGAGAAAAGGAGGAAAACAAGGATGTCTGCAGTGGTTCTAGAATACATAGATCTGTTTAATTAGTTTCCCTTTGGGATTAATTAACTATTTTTTAAGTGAATTAGAAATCACTTAAAACAGAATCCAACCTTTATACTCTCTAGTGTTCCTCTGCATCACTTCATTCAATTCACTATGTCTATTTAAAACCATTTCTTTACTGACCGATTGGTCTTTAGGGACCAATGTTTTTTACTGACTGAGGGACGTTAGTAACCAATGGTTTTTACTGACCGATGGTCTATGGCGAGCGATAGTCTTTAGTGACCGATGGTCTATGATGACCGATGGTTTTTAGTGACCGATGGTTTTAGTGACCAGTGGTCATAAGGAACCAATGGTTGTTAGTGACAGATGGTTTTTAGTGACCGATGGTCTTTGATGACCGATGGTTTTTAGTGACCGATGGTTTTAGTGACCAGTGGTCATTAGGAACCGATGGTTGTTAGTGACAGATGGTTTTTAGTGACTGATGGTCTAAGGTGACCAATGGTCTATGGTGACCAGTGGTCTTAGTTACGATGATTTTAGTGACAGATGGTCATCAATGACAGATGGTCTTTAGTGACCGATGGTCATTAGGGACCGATGGTCATTACAGACCAATGTTCATTAG